TATGGGAATTTGGGGATCCCCCTCCCCCAATTTATGAGGAATTTGGGGACCCCCCATTAATGAGAAATTTGGGGATCCCCCTCCCCCAATTTATGAGGAATTTGGGGAACCCTCCCCCAATTTATGGGGAATTTCGGGATCCCCCTCCCCCAATTTTTGAGGAATTTGGGGACCCCTCCCCCAATTTATGGGGAATTTGGGAATCCCCCTCCCCCAATTTATGAAGAATTTGGGGAACCCCTCCCCTAATTTATGAGAAATTTGGGAATCCCCCTCCCCCAATTTATGGGGAATTTGGGGATCCCCCTCCCCCAATTTATGGGGAATTTGGGAATCCCCCTCCCCCAATTTATGGGAAATTTGGGGATACCCTCCCTCAATTTTGGGGGAATTTGGAGACCCCCCCCCTCCCCCAATTTATGAGGAATTTGGGGATCCTCTCTGCCCAATTTTTGGGGAATTTGGGGACCGCCCCCCTCCCCCGATTTATGGGGAATTTGGGGACCCCCTCCCCCAGTTTATGGGAAATTTGGGGACCCCCCATTAATGAGAAATTTGGGGACCCCCTCTCCCCAATTTATGGGGAATTTGGGGACCCCCTCCCCCAACTTATGGGGAATTTGGGGATCCCCTCCCCCAATTCATGAGGAATTTGGGGACCCCCCATTAATGAGAAATTTGGGGATCCCCTCCCCCAATTTTTGAGGAATTTGGGGACCCCTCCCCCAATTTATGGGGATCCCCCTCCCACAATTTATGGGAAATTTGGGGACCCCCTCAGGAATTAAAGGACGCACACAGAGACCCTTCCGACCCCCAATTTGGGGGGACACCTTTATTGGGGTACGAGGGAGATTTGGGGTCCCCCCCCAGTATAAATCACCCCCAACCCCCCCAATTTCGGGGTCTCCACTCATCCCCCCCTCCCCAATTTGGGGGGGAAGTTGGTTTTGGGGTGGGGGCTTTTTGGCAGTTTTTTAGGGTTTTTTTGGGTTTTTTTTTTGGAGCATGTGTTGAGGGTTTTTTTGAAAATTTTTATAAGCGTTTTGCGGTTTTTTTGGAAGGTTTGTTGGGGTTTTTTGAGTGTTTTCTGGGAGTTTTTTGGGGTTTATTTTTTATGGGTTTTTGGGGGGTTTGGGCGTTTTTTTGACTTTTTTTTTAGTTTTTTTTGAGGGTTTTTATAGGTTTTCTGGGGTTATTTTTGAGGGTTTTTTTGAGCGCGTTTGAAACGTTTTTTGAGGATTTTATGATGCATTTTTTTTGGCAGTTTTTGAAGAATTTTTACAGTTTTTTGGGGGGTTTTTTTTGAGTTTTCTAGGCCTGGATGCTGCTCTTGGTGCTGAAGGCCAGGTAATAAACCACGAGCCCGATGGCCGCTGCCACCACCTCTGTGGACACCCAGGGACCGTTCCAAGCGCCCTGTGGGGAATTTGGGGTCACCAGAGCACCCCAAAACCCC